TGCTCCCCAGCCAGGATCTTGGGATTGTCCTGTATGTATGTTGCGTAATGCACCATCTGTGGACACCTGTCCTGCGTGTCACGCCGAAAAACCGGGATCTTGTCCGAAGCCAGTATCTGACAGTGCCACCTCACAGCCGCGTTCATCGTTTACCGGCCCGATCTTTGGAGGTTTCAACACAATGAACCCAGGAGGCTTCACTACAGGTCAGCCAAAGACCACTGCACCTGCGGCAAGCACCCCTACAAAACCTTTATTCAGTTTCGTTAACAGTAGCACAAAATCTCCGGCCAACTCATCCGCTCAACCAGTTACAGTACAAGGTATCTGCGCCAGTGGCGCATCCAAACCGGACCAAACAGATTGTTCGCAATCCCGACCTATATTCTATTTTGGCAACAACGACCAATCCTTCCCAACTTCCAAGCCTACAACGAGTGAAGCACCGAAATCAAGTGGCGTGTTCGATAAACTACAGTTGGCTCCGAATCAGACTGGCAAACCCATCTTTGGCACCGGGAGTTTTTCATTTAGCTTTGGTTTACCAAAAACCACAGACTCTGGCACAGGGGTCACAAGCACACCCGTCAGTGCAGCAAATACATCCAAAGGGGATGATCGGGATACAGATCAAGTTGAATTAGTCGATGAGGAAAAATTAACCTTCAAACCGGTGCTTGAGGTCATGCCCGAAAAAGTTGAAGTTCGCACGGGCGAGGAGAATGAGGAGGTGGTGTTCTGTGAGCGAGCAAAACTGTATCGATGGACAGCAAATATGTGGCGTGAACGTGGTGTGGGTGAAATCAAGCTACTTCGTACTCCAAATACCGGCTCCATGCGTTGCCTGATGCGTCGTGACCATGTGCTTAAAGTCTGCTGCAACCATCCCATCACGGTCGGAATGCAGTTGAAGCCGATGACCAATACGACTGATGGACGTGCCTGGACTTGGTGGGCTATCGATTTTACTGAACCCATGACCGAGGCCGATGCAGATCAGTCCCACAATTCATCAGTTGGTGGTGAACCAGATGCTTCTGGTGGACGACGTGAAACCTTTGCTGTCCGATTTAGAACTACCGAACATGCTCAAGCATTTAAAGAATCGTTCGAGGCAGCCGTTTCGGCGGCGGAGAAACGTGCAGGCGGAAAACCCACTGAGGACGTTAATTCCACGGCAAGAAAAACGGTGAATGTGGATCTTGATCAAGGTGGACAGCCATCAGACAATGACGATGTCATTGTTGTCGAAAAGCCCCCTGAGGTTAGTGAAATTATATTGTTGAGTAATGGCAGTAGATCATCTACGGTGTTTTAGTTACTTCATGGAAGAGTGAATTGTTTGAAGATGAGTTTGTGATCACTGGATCGAAATTCTTTCCTACTTTCCTCTCATAGGTGGTTTTACTCCTAGTTCACTCATCCATTATCCTTCACTGAGTGGTTCAGCCCCAAACCTCGCCCTGATTGGAGAAGTATTAGGATACGTAGACAGATTTTGCTGTTTGGGTATCTATCTCACCTGGTGCGCTTACAGAAGGCTCGGTTGGCGTTTGCCAACTAGAGACATCTGTGGCGCCGTCACGAAATCGGGCTGTCTGTGAAAGGTCCAGTAATTACTGCAGCTGTTCGACCATTGCTGCTCTACAACGCCGCGACTTGGCCACTACGGGAACGGAATACCAATAGATGTTCAGTGTTCGAACACCACTGTCTACGTCGCATTGCACAAGTTTGGTGGGCTAACCGGACGAGCAATGCTGAGGTTGGATGTAGAGTTTTAGGTAAACGCGACCGTCCATTGGAGCTGGTTGAGGCATGTGTTACGCATGTCGCCAGATAGGTTGCCACCGCAAGCGATGTTTGATGAAGCGGGTAGCGGTTGGAAAAAAGTCAAGTGCGGTCAAAGGGTATAGAAACACCAATCAGGAGACTGAGTCACTTAGTTTGGGGACCCCGAAGTCATGGTCACCGATGGTTAGAGACACAACTATATGGATGGGTACGGTGAACAGCGGGGTTCTTGCATCTACTCTTTGTTCCTACCTTATCAAATTGATGCATTCATGAGGTCTTACTACTTTATCTTTAGTTATTAGGTATATTTGGAATGTGTTTAATTTTTTAAGTATCAACACTGTATTTTTGGTATTTTTTGAGTCCGTCGACTGCGTCATTTATCTTTACGTAAAATGTCAGTGTACTTCATTGCTTGTACCTTCAATATTCCTCGCGACTTATTTTGTCGTAATTTCTTTTTAAAATATGCCGTCACAACTATTGCTTCGAAATTCACGTTGCTAAATATCCTAACTAAGAGGATGCTCTCTCAGAGGTATTTCCATAAAAAATAACTTCATAAAAATGGCTTTTCGTTTTATCTATCATGAACTGTCTCCTTCGGGAAAAATGAAGTCTTACTGGCTTGGTAGACGTGAAATTATGAGGCTGTTAACTGAACGGAATGCGGTGCTGTTTACTACTGCTGCTCATTAAACATGTGGTCCCCCAACCAATCTACTTAAGCCGAGCTTAGCAGTCGGTTCGATGGCTAACAGGGGCATTGACGACTAACCTCATCATTCTCATTTTATTGATTAATCACGCAACTCGCCCTCCATCTACCAGATATTCGGTCTGGTTGTCTTCATAACTGAGTGAGCCATAGATGTATTTTTTTCCACTTATGCTTTAAAGCAAAGGCTTACAGTAAACGGTTACGAGAAATAACAACGTAGTCATACAATTCGGATCTGGGAAACGATTAAGCTCCGGTGAAATGACACATTCTTTATTTCTCACACACCTGAGTCCATGGCGCAAGTCTTCATAACAAAGAAATCCACTCGTGGCTTGCTTGTGAGCGCGATAGTTAGGTAGCATAATCCAAAACAAATTAGTGTACTTGAGGAATTCACAACCGGCATCTTCCGGCTAGCCATAGCCTGACCCGCAAGGCAGCGGGTCGGTTTGTGATAATCCCAACCCTTTTGAGTTCCGCTGCAGTTCGTACGCCCTTCGAATGGGGGTCAAACTTTCTAGGTACCCATCACACCCCGATGCATGGTCGAACCGGTGACCACTTCCGCCCTCGGGAATGTGTAGTTGGTGCTCTTCTTTCTGGTTTCTTTTTTCATTTTTACTTTTATTGAATGCACGATTGTACAATTTTCAGGAAGGAGAAAGCAGCCAACCAAAAGGCTGCCGTACAACTCAAATGATTTGGTTCGGAATCAGAGTTTTAGCCAACTTCCCTAAGTGAACCTTCAATGGTTCTTGGACCTGGTTATCTCCTCGGATGTGTGCTTTTCGTCGTCTCCCTTTGATGAAGGATCCTCTTGGATTCGTGAGAAAGACAGTGGGCAGGGTTTCTTCAGAAGAGGCTGCTTATGTCATATGCGAGAAGTTCACGAGGTGCAACGGAAGACTTACCACCCGTTATACTCACCCCGAGCACTGCGAGGTGCATCACCTTACTCGTGGTATTTGTGTCTATTTGAAGTACAGTGCTTTAAATCCTAAGGTTTGAACCTCACCACTGCTACCATCCAACTCCGGTGGTTCAGTTCGGTTCAGTTTTCATAACTATCACCATGCCCTGTCGCACGCCGGTTGAGGTTGCTGTCTTTTGGTTGCCCACTTGGATAAAAACAGAAGAAGGATTGGAATGTTGAGAGTAGAGTAGTGTATTCAGTCAGGTGGGTTGCGAACATGGTGAGTGTAGGTGCATGAGCGCCACTGTTTACGACACCCAACTGTATCACTGTCTCTGACCATTGGTTATCATGGTCATGGGATACCTATCCACGGAGCCTAACACGATCTCTATGATCGAATCTCCTGGTCAGGGTTTTCATACCCTTATGCCAGATCTCTTTTTGATCTCGTTTGACTTTTTCCATCCAATTCATGCTTTGTCGAACATCGCGCACCGTGTCAGCCTATTCGATGACATGGGCAGCACAACTTTTGCTGTTTTTCGGCTCAGTACCACGTTTATGTGGTTTGGTTCTAACGTGGTGTGTTACTTCATGTCTCGGGACTCGGTTTCGGATTTTTAATGAGTGAACTGTGGTTCTCCGTCCCTATATGGCTTACATCTGCATTTTTCACACAAAACTAATAAAAAATAGTCCCCTTCTTTAGTCAATCATATCCTAGTCATTATCATGACTACCGTTCTCTTTTGAATGTGTACAGTAGAATTAGATGTTGGTTGCCTGGTCATGTTTTATGTACGTCCTTTTTAGAATGTTGTATAGATCAGTTTCAAAGTTGGTTTAGCTTCGTTAGCTGTGATGCGAACAGTGTTCAGTCAGAATTTTTGGCAAAATGATCCCGCTAGAATTTTTGGTAAGCATTTATCAATCATGTTGTCCAGGTAAGCGATGAACAGCTGGCACGTGCCCGCCAACTAATGCTCCCGGACGAATTTTATTCCTTCGAGAATGGGGTGATTCATGGAGAAGCCGAAAAAATGACGGAGGCGGAAGAAGCAGAAGAGGATAAACTTTTGGAAGCTGCTGTGCGTCGGGGAATTCAAAGACATCAACCGGACACAATTTCTCCCAAATCCACGGGCTCTATGGGTGTGACAGCTGCTGGTGATGACAAGAAAAGTGATATGAATGCCAAAACGAAAGAAAAGACACCAGAAAACCAAAAGACCGCGTCGCTGAGTGGTTTTGGAACTTTGTCATCTTTGAAGGATAGTAAGTTCTCATGGTCATTTGCGGTCGATTTTCATTTTTGATTTCGAGAAGAACCCAGTGGAACAGCAATCATTTTGGCTGAACGTAAACACAGGTATTTAGTTTCTTACAAAGCTTGACAATTTGATTCAGAGCATTTCATCACTAACAAAAGTGATATTCTAACTGCACTAATTTGTTGGGAGACCAATTGCCCACGGCGTCGATTGCCTGAAACTTTAGTTTGTCCGGTTCCGCACCACTTGGTATCCTGATCAATTATAGTTCATAAACTTTCCCAAAATAGTGTGCCATGTGCCTCGTCGGTTTTTTGTTGCACAAAGTGATTCTCAGTAGAAGGAGTAAACCTCATAGTCAACGGAGAAAAGGGAAGGTACGCCGGGGAAAATTCTGGTGAGAATCAGTTTGTTAACCCTGCTGTCAAAGATTGAGATCATAAGTGTTTGAAAATGCGGATACGGAAAGTGTTCCAGAACTTCGCAGTCCTGGGGATATAGAAGACTGGAAGATAGAGGTTTGATGTCTGCAGGCAGAAGCCCCACAGGGGTGACTGCCTGCCTGAATGAGATGGATGAGAAAAGTTCAAGGGGAGGGGAAACGTTGGATCCAGTTCAAAATAGCAGAAACCGAAATTATTACGATAGAAAAGAGACCCCGAAGCAACTGCCTGGCGATGGGAAAGGATTGCAGGTTGAAAGTTAATAACAGTTCATGGAGCAGTCGTAGAGAGACAGAGAGAGAGAGACTGCGGTATTCCAGCAGGCAGATTTGAGCTTTTGTCTAATAGAAGAAAGCGCTTCGGGGTTGATTAGAAATCGTGCGGTATTATAATGTGATCATAAAGTGTTTCCAATCTTAGCACCGAATTTTGAGAACAGTGAATGTTATTCCATATTTGATAATATAACCCACCATTACGTTGTTTATTTGGGAAGAGCATTCACTGTGGCATTCAGTTATTTATTACCGGAGTTCTGTTTTAAGTTCTCCATCGTTGAGGCGCTTGACCATATTTTCCCGCCTTATGGCGTCGTGTCACATCATGCAAGGCGATCTTATCCGTCTATTTCCACTTCATGTAGGTTTAGCTAGTAATTTCCTGAGGTCCGTGGAAATGCGTTCATCGTTTATTGTGTTTGATCTACCTAGAACAACCCATCTTACACATAGATACATAATCACTTGAAGTAGTGAAGCGCTTTTCAATAAGAGACCAAATATGTAACTTTATCTACTTCTACTTTAGACTCTTTATCCAGCACATACGTACCGCAAATCCGTGGTTTGCCTGACTTCTCTACCCTGAGCGCAAGTGTGCCCAAAGACGGAAAGCTCTCATTCGGCACATCATTTGGCACTTCCGCCACAAACACCAGCTACTGGTCCACTGCAGCGACCCCACTTTTCGCGAACTTTTCCTCCAAGGAGCGTGGCGAAACGGGAGAAAATGGAACACCCGAGGAGACTGGAGAACATGACCCACACTATGAACCAATTATTGCATTGCCTGAATTGGTTCAGGTTAGTACTGTTTTGAACTATTTCTGCAAGTATTAATCACTTTAAAGTGTTATTATTGTAAACAGAGCTTCGAACAAACGATTGTTGCAACTTCAGCGAGATTACTGGAGTTTTCTATTTTGATTTTCACGTGTATTGGAAACTTCTGCCTTCGGTTCGGGTATGGTCTTTGTCACGCTAGATAGCCATGCCGATTTAACACAGTGGAATATATATATATATATATATATATATATATATATATATATATATATATA